CTGAAATGTAACATCTTGTGCCGACACACCGATTGTTTTGTCGATTCTAATTTGATTCGTTCAAATAAGTTGGTATCATTTTAATTGCTGCTAATTCATTTCTTTCGATACGAAAYTTAAAATTCTAGTTCAAAATTCATTTTAAGGATTCTTTCATATTTCATTTATTCTAGGAAACAGTTATTTCTATGCGACATGTATCAATTGCCAGATATCGTTTGTTCCGTCTTGTTTTCTGTTGTTCTTGTCTTCAATATATCAGGAAACTCCCTCGTTACGTACATCATCACCAATGAACGAGGAATAAAAACATCCACAAACTGTCTGCTGTTAAACTTGGCTGTAKCAGATCTTTTATTTGGCGTTTTTCTTGCTCCTGAATACATATTCCTGCCTTTCTTTCGTCATTCCTTGCCAGATGGAGTTCTTGGGGAATGGCTGTGCAAACTACTGTTAACAAGTAACATCGCTTGGATGGCGTGCAGAGCTTCTATTTTCACCATGATTTGTTTATCAGTTGAACGATACTTTGCTGTTTGTCGTCCTCACACCTTCCGTCAGCGTTTCTCGCCGAAGATCGTSAAAGTRCTYGSTGTGGTGTCCTGGATATATGCTGTTGTTGTAATGTCACCCATTTTTGTTCGTACTCACTTGAACAGAGAATATTTATACTGTGTCGTTAACGTTACTACTACGAAAGTTCACTCGGTATGGGTGTTGCTAGAAATAACATGTTCCTTGTCTCTGATGATATTTTTTACTGTGAAAATATTMCTTTCCCTCTGGTGCAAGCAGACAGTCGAACCTACAGGAGAGCGAGAGATCTCCGAGAGAAAGAAGAAAAAGAAAGTCACATTGTGTGTTCTTGCTGTAGTTGTCACTTTTATAGTGTGTTGGATTCCAGCAGCCGCGTTCTATAYCATTTATGGTTTGTCAAACACGCCTTTTGAAGCTGTTGATATTGCAACAACATTGGTTGCGTTTGTTAACGCTGCTCTGGACCCGTATCTGTTTAGCTTTCAAAGTTCTAGATTCAAGGATTTGGTCAAAAAGGTTGTTTGCTGTGGAAAAGTGTATTGCATGACAAGGCAACCGAGACATCTTTAAAGAAGAAACCAAAACAGGAAAAGTCCATGGGAGTAGTACAGTATGTGACTGTAAAAACTGACCGTTCAARWATTCCCAGTCCTTAATTTCTTACCATTAACAGACAAATTTCCAACTGGAGGARYTGATTAAATGGTGAGCACCCTATCCAGGGTGCCGTAAATGATTCTTTAGTAATGAAAGTTCTTAATATCATTTTTTCTTAGTGTCATCTTCATTTTCCTCTCGCGCGTTAGTCATGATTAGTCAAGGCCATCTGTTACTTTATCTTAAAAGTTACATCTAATATTTCTGAGCTATCGACCTATACCTAGTCGGTGGAGTTTATCAAGACTGAGAAGTATTCAATAAAATATTCATAACTTCAAGTTTTTTTAAGAATTGGAAAAAACATTTCTAGYCCCCAGATCTGCATGCTAATGCGTTCAATACTATTTCTTATCATTTCTCAGTCTCTCGCAGTTGTCTATGAATATCGCTCAAATCGACCAGATGTACAATGATTTATGCAAAAATTATTATGTAACTGGTTATGTTGCTCATGCATTTATACATGTAATTACTTGAATGAATTAAGTTATTTGTACTTAATTTGAATTACATTTCTTCATCCAATCATCTTAAACCTGAAATGTAACATTTTGTGACACACTGATTTTTTTGGTCCCAATTCTAATTTGATTCGTTCAAATAAGTTGGCATCGTTTCAGTTGCTGCTGATTCATTTCTTTCAATGCAAAGCTTAACTTCTAGTTCGAAATTAAGATTCATTAACTCGATTTTTCTGGGAAACAGTTTTTTCGATGCGACATGTATCAATTGCAAAATATCGTTTTTTCTGTCCTGTTTTCTGTTGTTATTGTCTTGAATATTGTAGGAAATTCCCTAGTTATGTACATCATCAGGAATGAACGAGSAATGAGAACATCCACAAACTATCTGATGTTAAACTTGGCTGTAGCAGATCTTTTRTTTGGTGTTTTTCTTGCTCCTGAATACATATTCTTGCCTTTCTTCCGTCATTCCGTGCCAGATGGAGTTCTTGGTGACTGGCTTTGTAAACTACTGTTAGAAAGTAACATCGCTTGGATGGCGTGCAAAGTTTGTTTGTTCACAATCTTGACGTTATCTGTTGAACGATACTTTGCTGTTTGCCGCCCTCACTCCTTCCGTCAACGATTTTCTCTACGAAATATCAGAAATTTGATTTTGATATCCTGGATCTACTCTTTTTTGGCATCTTTACCGACTGYAATCTGGGCAAAGCGCGATGCYTCCAACAAAGGAGTTTGCAAACGATTGCTGTTTACGAGCAAGTTGTATGCCATATTTGTAGCCGCAGGAATATGTCTCGCMGCTTTATTAATGTTTTTTTCTTTGGCAAGGATTTSCATTTCCCTCTGGTGCAAGCAAACAGTCGAGCCTACAGGAGAACGAGAGATCACYGAGAGAAAGAAGAAAAAGWGGGTCACTTKGTGTGTTCTTGCTGTAGTTGTCACCTTTCTGTTGTGTTGGGTGCCTAGTTATGCTGTTTATTTACATTTTGCGTTTTCCACTGAACCTCAGAGAAATGTCGCAAGCAAGTTTTTWGTAGCTGTACTGTTGATGAATGTAAATGCTGCTCTTAACCCGTTCTTGTACAATTTATCTAGCTTTAAGAGTTTCTTTAAAAGAAAAGTGGCATGCAGCTCGAGCGTAGGTAGAATTGTAAATTCCAGTGATAACACGAATCAAAACATACCGCCATGAATAAAAAATAGGCGCTCAAACAGCGYATGTGCCTAAAATAATGCATAATGCTAGAGTTACGCTCTTTTGCATTGAACAAATTGTCACGCTCACAACTTTAATTTTGAGAGGTAATTTTGGGCAAAATTATTGAAAAAAGTAATCTTTCGGAATGTAAAAATATAGTTTTTTTTTAGCTTTATTCTGATATAAATTTCGATTAGACAAGTTGAAAAAAGTCCATTTCAAAATTGCCTTGAAGTAAGTTGGTCGAATGACAATGTATGTAAACAAAAGCCTCTTTTGTCAATTCATCGATTTATCTCGAATATATAGAATAATAAAAWCAAACTACCAAAAAATAAATAAAGTAGTTCTAAAACTGTCATTGAAAAAATGAATAAATTAAATAAACATAATGCCAGATGTCAGCC